TCTGGGCTCTGGTAGGTTTACTCACATCGTAAGCCCAATTATGAAATCTTTGGGCTCTAATGGCTGGTGTTACGCCTATGCGCTTTACAATTTCAGCTTTAAGTTGCTTGTAATCCTGGGTCTGGTCGGAAGGTAGGTCTTCATAGGCTTTTTGGCACTCCCCACTCAGGCATGGAGCTAGAAACCCCGCCCACTGGTCCAATGGCTATCTTTCCCGGGCAGCAACCCTCTCGAAAGTGGTGAGATAAGCCTCCACATCATCTGTCATCTTATGCAGGAAGTCAGTGGCACGGATACGGGATCCCCTTTCCCCAGGGGGGGCTCCCTGCAACACCTCAGTAGGAGCAGTTCTAACCAGCTGCTGGGCTTCCTTCAGGTTCTCAACCTGTGTAACCAGTAGACGATTTGTTTTTTGTTGTACAGCGGTTGCCTGTACCAGAGCTTTCACCAGTTCCTCCATTATAGCACCAACCAGGTAACAGTCTTAAAGGTACAGGCTACTTGTTTAACAGGTCTGCCAAAATAAAAGTCCTGAAGCAGACTACCGGATGACTGGCACACCCACAGACCCTCAAGGTGCTACTGTGCCCGCATTCTCCACCATATTGGGATCCATGTCTGCAGGTAGCACGGTCCTTTTGGGCAGGGAGGGGTTTATTCCCACTGCTGCAGCGGAATACCTGCAGATGAGCAGTGGGTTGGAGACAGTCCAAAAACCCTGGCCTGGATCTATGTCTCCCAAGAAAACCGCTAAACTGCAGAGTGGAGCACTGGCCCACCCTGCTCTCCAAATGCTCCACCCCAGGGGCCCATAACTAAATATTAATTTCGGTTATATACACACCTTAACACACACTCCCCCTGGGGTTAAAAATCATATGCCTCTCTGAACAATTCAGTCGAAATATAAACTCCATCACAGATCACCCCATTCACCTTATCACAGCACCAAAAACATTACAGACAGGTACAGGAAGCTTCTAAGTAAGTCTGTACAGTCTTAACCAGCAGCTGGTTTAACACATTGAGCCCCCTTAACCCTTCTGTTTCTCTGCACAACCTCACCACCTTTTATCTTATTGTGTGAACTAGCCCACCGGGATACCGGTAAATTTCCTGGTGAGCCGGCATACCTTCAGGGCACAGCCACCTAGGGCACATTGGCCTGGGAGTCTCAATCGCTGCGTGACTGGCAGGAGGGAAGTGCACCGCACAGTGCTACCCCTTTGGTCAGTCACTTTATGTAGCATTTCCAAATGGAGCGTGCTAGAGGATCTTTGTCCTCTACCCTATCTGAAAGGAAGTACTCACTGTGAACACTTTCTGTCTTACCTGGTAGAGTAGACGGAAGATCCTCCACTGTGGTGCACTTGGCCATTCTACACAGGGGAGGTGAGTAATTTGGGGGGGGGGGGACACATAGAGGAGACTTTAAAACATGGAGGAGCTGGGGGGAATGAGATACATTGTGGTGCTGGAGGAGAGGAATGAGATACTGGGAGGGAATGAAACACAAAGAAGGGCTGGGAGGTATAATACACAGGAAGGGGCTGGGGGAAATGAGGCACATCAAGGGCATGAGAGTGGGAATGAGACACATATAGGGTCTGGAAGGGAGAAATGAGACACATGGAGGGCCTGGGGTGGAATTAGACACAAGAAGATCCTCGGGGGGGTGAGAGACATGGGAGGGAAGGGGGCGAAAGAGACACACAGAAAGGCTTGGGTAGAGAAAAAGGCACACAGAGGACCTGGTTGGAGAAAGTGACACACAGAGAGGCTTGGGGGATAGAGACACACAGAGGGGCTGAGGGGAAAGAGGCATACATTGGGCTTGGGAAGAAAGAGAAACAAGAGGGCCGGGGGGAGACATTACAATCACTTATAAAGCACCAACATATTACACGTAAAACAAGACAAACTAATCATTCTAGCACAACATGGTGACATACAGGAAAACAACATCAACAACACAAGTAGTATCCCACACATGCAACCCCACAAGTAGCCTCACATGTGTTTGGAGGCTATTTGTATGTCTGCACATGTAGAAACACAGTGGAAGCATGCAATTTTCTCCACCTTTCTAAGCGTGCAATTATGTTTGTTTTATTTCTTTATTTAAGTGGTGGGAGGAGGCAGGAGTGCCAGCAAGGGTTGCTCCATCCAAAAACAGTGTTTTATTAAAACACTATTCTTGGTTGGGAAAAAGTCCTTAAAAGTAAATCTGGTGCTGTTTGGGGTGTTGGAGTCATGACTGTATGGCTATAACACAGCCATTCTGAGAGAGCCACACAAAGAAGGCAAGAAGAGTAGTAGTAGCCAAAAATACCTTGCCCAAGGGCCCTGTGAGTTGCCAGTCCACCCTGCCCCTACCCAGTGCGCCTCTTATACAGCGGTGTTGCTAGTTGGTAGAAAGACCAGGAGCTTCAGCTCAAAAATATCATTGATAGACATTCCTTCAATTTTACCACTTTTGTTTATGCCCCCCATTTTTCATGAGCTGCACTCAAAGTACTAAGACTTTTTCTATGTTCTCAAAAAGCCTATTATTATTGTATTTCTCCTGGTGAGTAGAATAATTTTCTTCAGGCTTTTTGCAGTGAACACTGTCTTTTCAGAGAAAAGGCAGTGTTTACATTACAGCCTAGAGATACCTCCACTGGCCACCTCTCAGATGGCTACTAGAGGTGCTTCCTGTGGCAGTGCTGCACAGTGTGACTGACATTCAGTGTCTCCACCCTTTGCATGGAGACACTGAATTTTCCTCATAGAGATGCATTGATTCAATACATCTCTATAAGGAGATGCTGATTGGTCAGAGATGTGTTTGACTTGTGCTGGCTCTGCCTCCTTGACAGTCTAAATCATATGGGAAAGCATTGTGATTGGCACAGAACACACCTTCTGATGATGTAAGCCAAGCAGAAAGATTGGGGGGCAGAGCCAGAATCAGCAGACTGCAATAAAGGTAAGATTTTGCTTGTTTTCCTGACCCTATAGCAGTGATGGCTTAACCTATAGCATGCGTGCCACAGATGGCATGCCGGGCCCTCGCCTTTTCTGTGGGTACGCAGCCATAGGTCGCTGGGGTCGGGGGGGCCGCCTGTTCTGCATCAATGCAGATTAGGCACCTGCCTGCACAAAACAGCAGGCGCCCACTCTGCTTCTGTGTTGGTAGGACCAGAAGCAGGAGGGATTTAGGAAGCAGCTCTCCTGTCCTCCCATGGCAACGCCCACACAGCATCGCGCGGGAGGACAAGAGAGCTGCTTCCCTGTCACATACTTACCACCACCGGAGCACCAGGGATGGTTGTGTTCCCTCCCTTCACCAAAGGTGGGTAAGAAGATGGGAGGGGGGGATACAGGATTTAATATACCTTTATTTTATTTTTAAATGTACCTTTACCCCCCTACCCCCCACACACAGCACCCCTACCCCACACACACACACACAAAGCACCTCTATCCCCACCACACACACAGCACACCTACACCCCCACACACACAGCTCAGCACCCCTACCCCCACACACAGCACCCTCCACACACAGCATCCTCCACACACAGCTCAAGACCCCTACCCCCCACACACAGCACCCCCACCCCCATATACACAGCACCTACCCCCACACACAGCACCCCCCACAAACACAGCACCCCCAGAGCACCCCTCAGACACACACAGCACCCAACCCCCTACACACACAGCCCCCCACCCCCACACACACAGCACCCCCACCCCACACACAGCACCCCCACACACACACACAGCACCCCCATGCCCACACACAGCACCCCTACCCCCACACACACACACACAGCACCCTTACCCCCCACACACAGCACTGCACCCCTACCCCCCCACACACAGCACCTCTACCGACAGCACAGCACTCCTCTCCCCACACAGCACCCCTCACACACAGCACTCCACACCCTTACACAAAAACACTGCACACCTCAATGCAGTATGTGTGTGTATTCAGCAGTCTGTGTGTGTGTATTCGGCACCCCCCACACACAGCTCAGCACCCACAAGTTTTGCGGTTTGGGCACCCTGGCTCAAAAGGTTTGCCATCACTGCCCTATAGTGTTCATTTAAAGTGTCCTTTTCAAATGTTGTGAGGTATGAATACTGATCAATTAATTAAAAAAGAAATTGCTAAAGGTAGACCATAAAAATAAAGCTAGAAAAGTAGCTGGGCTGGAGAACTTTTCTAAATCAGCACTCATGTACCTGCATTTTAAAAAATGTTTTAAATTTGCTACAGTTTAGTGCTTTAGTGTTTAGTGCTTAAGACATTATGGCAGTTGTATGTTTAAAGGACCACTATAGTGCCCCCACCCTCAGGGTCCCCCTCCCGCCCGGCTCTGGAAGGGGGAAAGGGGTTAAAACTTACCTTTTTCCAGCGCTGAGCGGGGAGCTCTCCTCCTCCGATCCTCCTCTTCTCCTCCCCGTCGGCTGAATGCGCACGCGCGGCAAGAGCTGCGCGCACATTCAGCCGGTCACATAGGAAAGCATTCATAATGCTTTCCTATGGACGCTGGCATCTTCTCACTGTGAAAATCACAATGAGAATCACGCAAGCGGCTCTAGCGGCTGTCAATGAGACAGCCACTAGAGGATTAGGGGGAAGGCTTAAACCATTCATAAACATAGCAGTTTCTCTGAAACTGCTATGTTTATGAAAAAATGGGTTAACCCTAGCTGGACCAGGCACCCAGACCACTTCATTAAGCTGAAGTGGTCTGGGTGCCTAGAGTGGTCCTTTAAGATGTGTGACAGCTGAAGGTCCTTTAAGTTGTGACAGCCAGGATGAACTGAGTATTCATTGGCTGCTCATACAGAGCTTTGATTGGTGTAATTAAAATAGCCAATCACAGGGCAGGAGATAATGTCATAAACACTTGTAGTATAACTCACATGGGAAGGTAAGATGTGATCATTCTGAATCCTTCTGCGATTCATTTAGTTGGGATGTTCTGGATTTTTTTACGATGGAAATTAAGAAAATGAATGTCAGCTCACAGAGGCCAGTATGTGAGCTGCACGGAGGGCAACCTCTGAATATTTATTGCAAGACAGATCAGAAACTCCTCTGTGGGATTTGTGCCACCAGTCGGCAACACAAAAATCATGTCTTCTCCATACTATTACCATTACCATAACTGGGAGTTAACTAGCAGAATAGACACACGAAAGGTTCTGTAATCAGTTCCTTATGATCTCAGCAAACAGATACTAATACCCCGAGCTAGACAGGGGAAATATATATACGTATGCTCATACCCTAGGGGTCTCTTATATATATCTATATAAGAGACCCCTAGGGTATGAGCATACGTATGTACTTGACATGTGGAATATTTGAATTACTTGTGAAACACCCCCCTCTTCCCTCCTCTTGTCTTCTGTACCTCTATCCACCATAAAACTGTCAATAAAATACGAATTACAAAAAAAAAAAAAAAATCACGTCTTCTCCTCCATAGAAGAAGCCTACGACGAGCAGATGCACTCAAAAGAGACTCTGCTTCAAGGATTTAACAAGAGGCAAAGCAAACTGCTCTCCTGTCTCAAATCATTACATGAGAATAAAAACAAGGTTCTCGATACCCTGTCTATGGAGTCAGAGAAAATACACGTCTACTTTGAAAAAGTGCAGCGAATGTTGGAACAGAAAAAAAGCAGCATCCACACTGAGTTTGATAAGGCAAAACGTGACTTCATGCAAGCTTATGATCCAAGGATCAACAAGACAAACACTCTGCTTGCAGACATGGACAATTTTCGCAAAAGTGCTGAAAATTTAAAGGTCAAATCAGACCCTCTCCGATTTCTCCATAAAGTGCAGGAATGTAGGCACTGTGAGATCTGTGAGGTTAAGGAAGTGCCAATACCATTAGTTCCTAATCTGGCAGTCAGCCCTCATATGAAGAACGTTGATACCAATGCATTGAATACCACCAGACTTGCAGATGTGCACAAAATGTATTTGTCTAAATCTCCAAAGAGGAAGCCTAATCCTTGGTCACAAATCCTCCACCGTGTTCGCACTGTATCTGTTGGAATGCTGCTCTTTTCTGTGATTCTAGCAGCAACTTCCTCAGGGTCCTCTGATAACCATTATGTGATTGTCAATGAATATAAACATTTAGCTAGCTGCTACCCATCAAATGTCACTGGTAAGGCCACTATGTCTATTGCTGCTTGTTGGTGGCAGACTGCAGAGGAAATATTATGCATGACCAGAAGGTGTCAGTCTGATGTGGCTGAATTTGCATCAAGATTGACAAAAGGTCTTGAAATACTATTGTTACTGGGCATGGAGATAAAGAAGGCTGCACCAGTTTCGCCCATTGTCAAAATAAATGAGAAGCAAGTAAAGGCATGGTCCACCTGTCCATTGCATTTTGCAAATAGCAGTGATTATAGACCGGTGATACCATGTAAGAGCTGGAGCTTAATAACTACAATGTCTATGTCAGGATCTTACCTGATGGGGAGTCCGGCTCGCAGAGTTATACGCTCACCCTTGCAAAGTAGACACAGACCAGGGTGACCAGGTAAGACGCCACCTGATCTGTGAGTCTGTGCACGGGGGCTTTCCAGGAAAAGTGCTCCAAGTAGCAGTACAGCAGGGATTAGCAGAAGCGTAGTCAAGGAAAGCCAAAGTCAGGGGAAGCCAGATATCAGAGTAGTCCAGGAGGAAAGCCAAGGTCAGAAGCCGGAATCAGACAGGAAATACTGGAACGCAGATATAGCAAGACAGAAACCAAACAAGGGAACCAGGGAACTCAGGGAGAGGCAGTGTCTTATACCTGGCTAATTTGTGATCAGCCACAGGTGTGCTGAGATCGTTGGAGCAGCCACAGAATAACGTCCAGCCCCCAATGCTGGGTACAAGGCAAGATAGACTTCTGTCTATCTCTAGAGCTGATATGGTGGCTCAGAGGCAAAGTAGCAGCCCCAGGACTGCAAAATACCCTGGTTCAAGTCCGTCACCGGGCACTTCTGGGGCGACTTCGTCTGGCCGCCGGGATGTCGCGGTGAGAACCGTGACAGTCTACAAGCCATCATTTGACTCTATACGAATATTTAAATCCAGTACGCTTATATTTGTCAAACACTGTTGGAAAGGCAGTCCTGCACATCTCTAGTTACCGGAAACTGATAGCAGAAAAAGTATTCCTTGTATAGAAAAAGTGGCAGAGCTACATCACCGCATTATAAAACAAGTGGACGAATTAACCGATTCCTTTAGATGTTAGAAATCTTTTGGTCTTTGAGAAATTCGTGCCCCATTCCTGGGAGACCATCTATGGATATATTTTCTCAAACACGTAGATCGGGTCAAACAGCTTCTTTTAGTGGTTTATGTACAAGGTTTTCATATTTCTTACAAAACACCATAATTAACAGGGTTTGAAACTATACCCTTCCTGATGTTGGAGATGCAGTTCTACAAGAAAGAGCTTTTACTCAAACCTGCCTTACTTGCGGTCAATAAAATGGATCTTTTAAATGGTGAAGATCATTATCAAGAATTGCTATAACAACTTGCAAATCCTAACAAACATCGGCATTCATCGCCTGGTGATCTCTTCCAGTGCATCCAGTTTAATTCCAATATATTTTTCCTGCCCTTGCTGAAACTGGTCAAGGTATAGAGGAGCCTATATGCTGAATTTGGAAGTCTATTGATGAGCAGTCTGAATTGGAAATTTGAGAGTCTACGCAGGATACATGTCAGAGTCTTCAAACTACGCCATCGGGAACTAGGAAAAAAACAACCAGCGATGTGTCCATAAGGCAAGGCATTAACCAATACTCATACTTTCAATGTGAAGTGCACTTTAGACACTTGTATTGTACACAATGAATGTTTAATGAATGTTACAATAAAATGTTTTATTAAAAAAACAGGCCTATCTATTTGAATTCCTACAATACACAAATGATTGTCCACGGCTATCCCGACAATTGAAATATGTTATCTAGCATTAAACAACATGAATTTGAATCACATAGTGTAATTAGGTACTGATCCTGCTAGTTATTTCATGGTGCATTTAGGATCTTGCGAGAGGAACCTGGCGGAGCTTCTGTCTAAAGCTCCCCAGGTCCTCTCCTGCCTCCCTCCATGCTGCTTTTGGCTGGTGAGGTAGATCTTTGATCTCCCCGCCGGCCCATGGAGGCTTAGAGCAGAGCCGGCACTCAGATAGCGTCGGCTCTGCATGAGCCGAGAGGGGAGTTCTGGAGATCTCCCCTGCCGGCAGGGGTCAAGTCCTGGGGAATAAAGGGTGGGAACTCTCCCAAGATTCCCACCGGCCCCAAAAAAATTATATACACTCGTGTATATATACGTGCACACACACACACTTACACACATATATAAACACACACATACACTTACAGACACACACATACTTACAGACACACACACATACATTCACAGACACACACATAGGCGTGCGCAGCCCATTGCATAAGGGTGTGCACCCTAAAGCACAAACACACGCTGCTTATTATATATATATATATATATATATATACACACATACATACATATACATACACACACACACACAATACTGTGTGTGTGCATGTGTGGGCGCTGTGTGTGTGTAGGCACTGTGTGTGTGCAGGCAGTGTGTGTGTAAGGGTGCTGTGTGTGTTTGTGAGGGTGCTGTGTGAGTGAGGGTGCTGTTAGTGTGTGTGTGTGTGTGTGTGTGTGTATGTGTAAGGGTGCTGTGTGTGTAAGGGTGCTGTTAGTATGAGGGTGCTGTGTGTGTATGTGTGAGGGTGCTGTGTGTGTAAGGGTGCTGTTAGTGTGTGTGTGTATGTGTTTGGGTGCTGTTTGTGTGTATTGCGTGGAGGTGGAGGGGCCGTTTAGTTAATATCCCCACTCCCTTCTTACCTTATGTAGGGAGGGGGGATCGTGCTGCTGCCATCCCTGGTGGTCCAGTGGTGAGTGAACTTTAGCTCTGCAGCCTGCGGGGCTAGAGTTTACTCTCGCAAGATCTGAGCGTTGCCGTGGCATCTTTGATCTCCCTCACCGGCCCACGGAGGGAGGCACATAGCGCGTGCCGCAGGGATTAGGGTGTGCCCAGGCACACCCGGCACACCTCGTGCGCATGCCTATGCAGATAGACACACACACGATTACAGGCAACATCAAACAGTCACAGGCAGACAGTCACACATACAGTTATAGGCAGACAGTTACACACACACAGTCAGTTACAGGTGGTCACACACAGTCATAGCCAGACAGTCACGCACACAGTTACAGGCAGACAGTCACATATACAGTCACTCACGCACACAGTCACAGGCAGAGAGTCACACACACTTACAGTCACACACACACACAAAGTTACAGGCAGTTACACACACACGCACACACAGTTACAGGCAGACAGTTTTACACTCACACACACACACGGTCACACACACTGACACACACAAACACACACACACACACAGTCACACAGAGACACACACACAGACACACACACACAGACACACCGACACACACACACAGAGACACACACAGACACACAGTCACACACACACAGTCACACACACACAGAGACACACACACAGAGACACACACAGAGACACACAGAAACACACAGAAACACACTCTTACTTACAGACAGTGGGATGGAGGAGGAGTGGATTCCCTGAAGTCCTTCCCTGAAGCCTGTGGAGAAGCAGGGAATGGGATTCCATCTTACTGCACCTCCATGTGCAGCAGTAACCGGTAAGGGCCGTATTAAGCCCTGCCCCCACTGTCGTTTTGGCTCCGCCCACGATTTGTGTTAGCTGCGCCCTCACTTTACCTCCGTGCGGCCAGTTCAGCTGCTCTTAGCGTGTGAAAGCTGTTCTGGCCGCCTTGCACCCTAACTAACATGGGGGGGTACTGTGCTGCCACAGCTCACACAGCCCCCTCCAGCCCCCAGACCAGGGTCATGACACCCCCCACCCTGGTAGCACCCGGGGTTGACCGCCCCCTCCGTGCCCCCCTTAGTACGCCACTGCCATGCATGCCACGCCCCCTATTGCAGCAACAACCGCTTGTGCCACCAAGCTTTTCCTTTTCTTAATATGGTGCTTTTTTGTTAGTAACACTCTGCGTCAAAACATTCATGAAACCTTCATATTTTCAACAATTGGGACCTGCTGGTTCTGGAAGCTCAAATGGTCCATCACGTTTGTCAATGTCATTCTTGAAGTACTTTAGTATTTCTGCAGAAAAATACTTAGTACCTAGAAATGACATTTTAAAACAGAGCTCTCCTTGAGTCTTTAATAGAAAACAGACCAGCAGACTAAGTAAAAAAATAACAAGCTTTTAACAATGGGATTAATAAAAAAAAAAAACAACCAGAAACTGGCTCCAAAGAGATTGAACCATTTGAGAAACTTAATTACATTAACCTATTCAAACAAACTCTTGCTTTTAAAAAAAACTTCAATGTCTCAATACAACAAATGCCCATAGATAACAAAACACAAAACCACCCTTCTGCCTTTGTTTAGGTGCAGTGGGGGGTTTACAAATAAACAGACTGTAACTTCAACTCAATGATAATTCACAACTATATAACAATCTAACCTGTAGTTCATAATAATATTTACCCAAAATGCAAACTGTTTATTTTCTATTAAACACACTCCAGTGTAAAAATGGAAATGTTAACCTGGCTAAACAATAGCCCCCACACTGTATTTGCCCTGATACCTTTATCATGTAAACGCTTTGCTGCTACCCAGAATTCAATGGTTCAAACAGACAAAAGATAACAAACAAAAAAACCTGTTTGCTATTTAAACTTAGAATGCAGTGAAGCCACAAAATGTAACATCTAAGAAAACAATTAAAATAGATTAAGTTTCATTCTAGTTAGTTGCAACAAGAGAGACAATACAGCACATGGGCAATTAAAAATGGCCGAAACATCAAAGGTTCCCATGCAGTGCAACTATTCAATCTTCCCCTTTTATCACCAATACTTTAAAACTGTGCAGAAACAAAGTTAAACCTATAAATGCTACAATTTACAACAAAATATGATCTGTCAGTCACAATGCACAAATTCAAAACAGTCAACAAAACACATGTATTTTTATTTCAACAAAATTAATCCTATGCTATAAAGTCTTTAGCTCTTAGGTTATGTATCAATATGGTAGTTATTGCGCCTTACAAACACATTTGTTGTAAAAGTCTAAAATTTGTGGCCGGCAAAATGTGGTAAATTACCAAACTCTATAAATTATTATGTATGCATACACATATAAACTCTGATCCGTCTACTTTAACAAATATTTATTCAGAGACAAAACAACGGCAACATACAAATAATGAC